TATTATTATTATAATTTCAGACTAATGAAATAAATCCTTAGACTAAAAAAAAAAGACATTGAGCACTAGCAACACAGGCTATCGACTCTAATTTATATAAATGTACATTAGATATTGAGTCTAGTACTTTTAATACTGTAATATATTGAATTGATATTCTGTTCTGAAGCTGATATTAGAATGTCTAACGGGTTCATCGATCCAAATGCAATACTTCTAGCCAAGGAAAAGTTAAGGCAGTTGCTTCTTAATCTATTAAGTAGATACAATTTTTTCTTACGAGAAAAATTTTCAGTACTATTTGAAATTCTTTATGGTTGTGACTATGCATTTACTATGACTGTATGAATAGACTGTAATCTGCACCAGAAATAAAAAGTTTTCATATATCTTGCATATTTACATATATATGTAGTACAACTTCATAGTACGTATAGCTAAATGTACGCACATATTCATAACTGAATAGTATTTGAAAAAATAACAGAAACCCATTTGTATTTGTCGTAGCGAGTTTATTATCTGATTTTAAAAATACATGGCGTTGTTCTTGCTCAACATTTGTAAGTTTGATGGTTGCGGAAATGCTTTTCCAAGCTTAAGCGATTTGATACTACATATTGAGGATACTCACATCGATTATGACCCCAAAGTTATTGAACAAATGGAGCGGGCGCAACCAGCATCTCTGCCATTAAGTTACGTTTTACGTTTCATGCCAGATAGGGGCACGCAAGAAGACCGTTTGCCCAAATAATGCAACTGACTCGAGACCCAAGTCCAGAAATAAACGTCGTAGCTCTATCATGCCGTCATCAAATCAAAGCACCACTCCGACTGGCAGCTAAATGGATGAAGACGAATACGTTGACTCCGAATCAGAAGACAGTGATGACTCTTGGACAACCGAAGAGTTTAGTTCCACGTTCATTATGCGCTATGCTCGCATATTTACATACATGCGGAAACTGCGTATGTCCAGTCCCCAGTTTGAACGCAGCAGTTAACCAATGTATGAGTCCTGACTACTGGTTACTGCAATCCGGTAGTGGTTGTGGTTTCTATCACTCCTAAAGCGAATAGTTAGAGATAGTGACAGGCCTAAACCTACCTCAGAGTGCGTTTATTGAGCCATACACAATAAACATATCCAGTTCCTTCAGAGCGGTTTAGTCCCTAGCTTGTAGGGATTTTCTAACTCGTGATGGCGCCGATTACGCAAAATTAACCCGTATGTCATCGGGCACCGTGGGGTGAAGAGTCACCTTCTCCACGACTTTTTTAAGCGCCTCCTTTCCCCTGGTGCTATCCACTCCATTCGCTATCTGTAGACGTTAATCTTTTATCCGCTGGATTTCCTTCTTTAAGGCTTCTACTTTCGCTTTGAAGCGCCGACTTTCCTCTATTAGTGCTGCCAGACCCGATGCAGAGAATACTGGTATATAAATTTTGTCCAATATGTGTGGTCTAAAACTAGCGGGGCTTTCTACCCCCATCCTACGTTGTTTCTACGACAAGCCACTGGTACATTCAGAGTGATGTGCGAACGTTGCTCTAGTTTCCTCAATTCACTTTTAAGCGCTCAGCTCTTCCCCGTGTCTGCGTAAACTGCATAATCAATTTCTTCGCTAAGTTCTTCAGCTCTGTCGTGCCACACTCTTGGTTTTTTCTCTTTCCTTCCTTTTCCCACGAAATGGGGATTTTTTCAAAATTACTGAAACAATTACATTCGGTATATAGATTATATAATATAACATATATGTATTTATATATTAAAATATATGTAAAAATAAATATGAATAATAATAAATGTGAATAAACGAAGAAGATGAACCTAAAAAGAAACATGAAAGATTAAAGCAGTTACTTAAACTGTAATTAATTAATTACGGGTAATTAACTATCCGTAGGTAATTTATAAAAGTGATTTGTGACATTTTCTGTAAAAAACTGTGCTCTTGAAATCGCATCATAAAGATATCTTAAGAGATATTTTCTTTTATAAAAGATTCAAATTTAATACAAATATTCAGTCATTCTACTTACACTATTTCTAACGAGGCTTACCAAAGGGGAAAACTTTGAAAGAAACCTATTCTCGGGATTAATAAATCTGCGAATTACTTAAATAACTTACTTTTTTAGAAATTTATTAGCATAGTGTGAAACAGTTTTTTATTTTGTAACTTATGTTTCTTCAGATGAAAATTTAGCAGATTTGTTAACCAACTAAACATCTATATACATATATATATATATATCTATTCATATCTATAAAAAAAAAGCCTCATTGAAAAAACGAGTCTGAATTTGGTTACACCTGAGAGTAATTGAAATTTCGAATTGGTAAAATCCGAGAGTAATTTTATTTTTTTTTTCTCACTTAAACTACATTATTGGGAAAATATTGTTTTCCTGGTTCAGTAAGTTTGTAACCAATTTTGGCGACAAAATAAATTAAAAGACGAAATTGTTATTAAATCGAGCTCAGACTAGAACTCAAAAAAAAAGTTTTTTTTTATGAATGAGAAGCAGAAAATTCTTACAACTTTTAATAAAAATTTAATTGAAAAATATGTCACTGGCTACTTACATTGGGAATTTTTCGTGGACATCTTCAAGCGTTTGATTTAACACATTAGCAAGTTATACAGCTATTTATTGCAGCGTGAATTGAATACTAAAACAAAGCTGAAAATTTAATTTAATCTTCAAAATTTAATCTCCTTTTAAAATGTTAAGTTTAAATCAAAAAAACTTACTAATAATTTTATACTAAAGAGGCAATTAATTAAATTATTTAAATACGTCGGATTTTATCTTTTTCTTGTTTAATTTTCTGGCGGAGTGCATTTCTCCTTTTTATGTTTAAAGTTTTGCGATCTAGAAATTTGTATTGTTTGACAGCGATATGATAGAGATGTGATTATTTCATATTTTTTGTTCATGTTCATTCAAAGTGTTGCCATTTATTGAAACCAACCCTGTTCTCTCTCTATTCTCAACACCTGGTAATTTTTTTTATAAACCAGCTAACGGTTTTCTGTAGAAGAAAACGCATTTTACGAGTTGGTGAAAAAGTTCATATAAAATTGGAATACGGAGAAAAACTGGAAGAAAGTATTTTAAATAAAATTCTCTAAATTGAAGAAATTTTTGGTTTCTTTAAATCTTTAATTACACGACAAATGTTATTAAATGTTTGGCTCTTGGGGACGAACCGTAAAAGAAACGGAAGGGTTTTTATCGTCCCAAAATATCGCTTTTTTATCAACAAAGTTAATGATATTTTATTAAGAAGAGACCGTAGTATTTGTAGTATGTCAACCGTTTTCGCATGCTTAAATTTCTGTAAAGTCGCTAGGTGTAAGGACAATTTTAACTGATATCTTGGTAAGAGGCTTGATTATGCAACGTAGACGGTAAAGTTCTTATTATAGAGCCATTTATTGATTGCTGGAATAAAAATAAATGAACAAATAATAAATATGAAGTACCTCCGAAGATTGAGAGATGTCCATGAGACCACAAAGCAACGACATACGAAGGCGTAAGCACTCAAATTTCAGATTTTACGTAAGGCTTTCTAAATCAATTGAGCAAAGAGAAAGTTATCGCTGAATATGATCTTTTAAATCTATTTTATGCACATAACTTCTGCTTGTAAGCCACAACAATTCCACTACTCTTTGCACTTTTGCTTTTTTGTGTCATCAAACGCAGAGTCCTGGGCACGTGTGAAACGATACGACTGGCTTGCAATTTTATAAAGCAAATCACCGCCAATACTTTGCGCGAGTA